CTACCAATTTTTTTAATAAAGCAAAATTTACAGAATTTTTTTCAGAACTTCTTAGTTTTTAAAACTTTTTTTAGAGGGGCTGGCAGGCGACACGATGGTTAAGAGCTCTGGACTCCCACATGGCTGACTGTGGTTTGAGTCCCAGACCTGGCAGCTTGCTTTCTCTCTCTCTCTCTGTCCCTCTAAATAAGTAAATAGACAAACAAACAAAGTTAAATAATTCTTTTACTCCCCCCCTTTTTTTTAGAGGTTTTTGTCTCAAGGCACATGCGCTTGCTGGACAGAGATAGTGAGAAGGAAAGTGAGAAATCTCCCCCCCTAGGGGATAGCCATGCTGCAATCCCTTCTCCATTCTCTTCCCAGGATCTTGGGCACACACAGATGCCAGGCGTGAGTTTGAGGCCACTTGGTCCGGGACTTGAACCGCAGTTGGCCACATGGGAGTGCAGCAACGTAACTGTCCCCCATCTGCTGGCCCCTTTTCAGAACTTTATAGCAGAGAACTTCACCTTCTTTTGTCTGTTAAATGTTTCTTCCCTTTGCCCTCCAAGGGCTTTCCTTGGATCAATAGATCGTTACTTTTCTGTCTCGCTTTGCTTCCCCTTCCACCTTGCAGGAACTCACCCAGAGCATGCGGTGGGTCCCTAAGGAGGTTGCAGCCAGGGTCCTCCCTGAGAGCACCTCTTCACTGGAGCTCCAAGGGGCCCCCCTGAGATCAGGCAGAGGAAGGCGGAGGCCTGTGGAGCTGTGTGTGCAGAAATGACATCAGCCCCATGTCTGCCATTGCGTTCCCTCGAGGGCTGACGGGGCAGAGGCCCTACCACCCAGCTGAGATGGGGAAGCTCGCAGACCAGGCCCTCGGTGGGCATTGGCAGCAGGCTGTGGCAGGCCGTCCACCTTCACACAGGGGTTTGTTCATTAGCACTGGCTTAGGGCATGTTCCCAGAGCAGTGGGCCTCACGTGGAGGCCCGCTGACACAGACTGACAGCTGGGCCGCTTCCCAGAGTGTCCAGTCCAGGAGATCTGGGGTCGGGGCTGACAATCTGCGTTTCTGACACCTCCTCAAGGGGTGTGGCTGCTGCTGGTCTGGGCACCCCACTTGGAGAGCTGCAGCCCTGGAAGCAGAGCCCGAGGTGGGGCTCCAGGGGCTGGTGCTTTCAGGTGAGACCTGTAAGAAGGACGGTGGGCAGGAGAGGGCAGAGGGAGGAGCTGGGCCAGACGTTGGCAGTGTGGTCTGGGGTGGGCACTTCCTCCCACAGGCGCCCTGGCTTGTGGACGTGGCCATGGGGTTGCCCTGCTCAGGCCCTGGTTTGTCATCAAGGTTCAGGCTCTCCCGGGATGGCGCAGGAGAACGGCACAGGTGGGACTGTGGGTGAACCCCCCACAAAAGGGGGTCACCAGCTTGTGCCGGGAGCTCCGCCTTTGTGCCAGGCACTGCCCTCAGCCTCATCTGGACAGCAGTGAATAAGCTCAGGACTGCCCTGGGGGCTGCCATCTTTCCTGGGGAGACAGGCACCGACTAGCCTCAGGTGGACGGTGCTGTGTGGGACGAGGCAGAGGCAGGGGCTCCGGGGCCCAGGTTTCCAGGGCTGAGTTTTCATCAAGGAGGCAGAGGTGCTGAGAAGTCAGGGCTGTGCTCAGGTTCACAGCGCCCACACAGCCCGGAGTCAGACCAGCGCGACTCCGTCTCTGAGCAGGACTTCCAAACCTCACCCCTGCCCCAGGCCCACCCAGCCTGTCCCAGGGCCCTTGTCTGGGGCGAGGTTGTCAGAGCCTGACGTATCCAGTAGTCCCACTGCAGCCTGCTGCGTGTCCCAGATAGAGTATCTGTCATGCCGTGCAGCCCTTTGAAAACCCTGGGAGGTGCCCTTTTACCCCTGGCTGCGTGCCAGCTGGTGCCTCTCCGGGTGCTGGCAGGCATGCCCTGTGCTCTCCCGTGCCTCCACCCTCCACCCATCCCTGCTCCTCCTCTGACCGCACAGCCTGCCTGGCCAAGCCCCTTCTCTCTCATCCCCAAACCCACGGTGCAGCCAGCCTTGATTTCCACCGTGGCCACCAGGCTGTCCCAGAGCTGCTCTGGCCAACCCGGGAGGCACCAGCCACTTCCGGCCTGAGCCCTGGAAATTTGGCTAGTGGGACAAGAAGAAATCTCGCTTTGTGAGAATGTCCATTCCTCGTAGGCAACTACACCTGGCTGGTGTCCCCGGGGGGACAGTGCAGGTTGAGCATCAGTAGACCGCATGCCTGCCTTGAACAGAACTGTTGTTGGGAGGAAGCCCCATGTCCAGCCTCGGCTGTCCGCGTCCTGCCCTGTCTGCAGTGACTCTGCTCCCAGCCCTTGGAGTGGAGGCTGCACGGCTTCCCTCTGGGGCGGGTCGCCTTGGCCGAGTCCCTTACGCTTCCGGGGTCTTCATGCCCTGCCATGTAAAACCCGGTGACTGGCTTCATCGTTCTCTAGTGTGCTGTGGATGGTGGGGTGCATGTGGAAAGCAAAGGGGCAGGGGCGGTCTGTGGTCAGAAGGTGTGGATGGGACCAGCAGTTGGCGTAACGGCTATGTCGCTGGACTCCCACATAGTTGACCACAGTTCGAGTCCCGGACCCGGTGGCTTAAACTCACGCCGGGCGCGTGTGCGTGCGTGCCCAAGATCCCGAGAGGAGAATGGAGGAGAAGGGATTGCGGCATGGCCATCCCCCCTGGGGGTTGATTTCTTGCTTTCTGTCTCTCTGTCTCTCTCTCTCTGTCTGGCGAGTGCACGCGCCCTGTAGCAAAAACCTCTCCAAAAAAAGAAAAAAAAGAAGGTGTGGAGAGCGCTGTTGAGGCCAGGGGAGAAGACCGTTGGCTGCAGGACTTCCCCATGCTGGGGTGTGCTGTGAATCTCCCAAGGGCCCCTTCTTTGCCCACGGACCTCTTTCTTAAAGCACTGGACTCCCACATGGCCAATTGCGATTCGAGTCTGTTTTTTTTTTTTTATAAAGAATTATTATTTAATTTAACTTTATTATTATATGTTTTAATTTGTTTTGACCAGAGAAAGAGACAGAGAGAGAAAGTGAAAGCAAACTACCAGGTCCGAGACTCGAACTGCGGTCAGCCGTGTGGCAGTCCTGCGTCTTTAACTACCCTGCCACCTGTCGGCCTCTTGAGTCCTTTTCTTGATGGGATCCTGTGACACGCCAGTTGCTAGGACACAGAGAAGTGTGTGTCATACTGGCCCCCTCAGGAGGCTGGGGCATGGTGTCATTTTCTTCCGTCTCTGTCCCCTGCCACCTTGCCTAATGAGGCCAGGAGGGTGGCAGTGACTTCATGTATGCAGTGGTTCTTTTGGGTGCTGTCACTGCTTCATGGGACACGCATTCCGTGCCTAGCACATGCCAGGTCTGTGCTGGAAAGTGGGGTTAATATGGTGAACAGGGGGCCCCAGGACCTTGGGCAGTGGCTTCCCTTCTCAGTCGTCCCCACATGCACACACACAGGCACGCATGTACACACAGGTGTGTGCACACATACACGGAAGCACACACCTGTCCTGTGCCCTCATGGGCACACCTGCCTGCTCCTTCCAGAAACCCTCTCTCCTCTTGTGTCCCTGAGAGCATTGCCCTTGGGTCTGCTCGCCTCTCCCTGTCCCGGGCAGCCCTCTGTCTCCCAGTGGGCTCCACCCCTGGCCTTGTCCTGGCGTGCTGGAGTCCCAAGGTCCCCACGGAGTTTCTCCTGGTGTCCAGCCTGGGCTTCTGAGTTATTGTCAGCTCCACTTGGCTGCCCTAGGGCACGGCAGCCCGCTGAGGTCAGCCCCATCTTCCCTGCACCTGCCCCAGGCTGCTGTCCCCAGGTGTTGGCACTGTCACCCTCACAGGCCCCAGGCCTGACACCTGAGCCTTGTCCTGGACCCTTCCCTCCAGTCCCAACTCCTGGGCTGTGTGTTCACACCTTCCCTTCTCATCCCTCTGTCCCCCCCCCATTATCTCTGGCTTCCCCCCGGGGCTGCTGCTTTTACACCACCCACCCCACCGGTTCTGTTTGTCTCCTACTGCTCTGACAACCTGGTGAGCCTGCGCTAGGAAACCTAGCCCCGTGGGAGCTGCCTGTCCTCCACACACAGCCTCTTCACCATGGACTCGCTTCTCTGCCTGCATTGCCGTTCACCGCGACCCCTGCGTCTGGGTCACTCCTGTTCATTCTTTGCTTCTTGCGCCTCACTCTGGAAGCCTCTGACCCCCCCACAGCCCCGTCCTGTGCACGTGCAGTCCCCGGTCCAGCACGTGTCACACTGCACGTGCGCACCCATGGGCTGGCCTGCCTCCCTGCCAGGCTGCGAGTCCTGGGGTGAGGACGAGCAAGGCCTGGGGAACCCAGCAGGCATTTCCTACCTGTTTACAAAGCAGGTGCGTTGTACCTCTGGGCCCTTCTGGGCTCTCCCTGGGACAATGAGGGGCAGAGAGGATGGCCCTGGTCCATTCGCAGCCAGGCGGGAGATGTCTCAGGGACTGGAGGTCACAGGGCACTCTGTCCTGCTCCTGGTGCAAAACGACTTTTGGGTGTCCTAGAGCCTCATGCCTCAGCAAGTGACAAGGACAGGAAGCCCCTTTCACGGGCTCGAGATCTAGTGGGTGAAGAGGCCGCAGGGTGCAGAGGAGGAGGCTCCGTGACAGGCTGCGTAGCCTTGGAAGGACCCTCCCTTCCCCAGGGCCTCAGTGTCCTTTTTACCCAGTGGGTGGGCAGGACCGGTTCCCCAGAGCCACCCTCGTCTGCAGAACTGTGACTGGGAGCCCTTGTTCTGGGCAGTGCTTACTCTGGCCACCAGAGGGCGGCCAAGGGCTTCAGCGCGCCGAGGAACCTGGGCCCGCAGCGAGTTCAGCGTTGCCCCGTGTAAACCCCAGAGCCTGGTGGGGCCGCTGCTGTCACTAATTACAGAGGAACGTGCTTGGCCAGGGAGTTCACCCAGGGGCACTGAGAAGGGTGTCTGATCGCCAACCCCTGGCCCTTGTCTCTTTTCACAGTGGTCCTTTGCTGTCGCCACCATCACAGAGATCCCCCCTGTCATCTTCCTCCCCAACTTCCTGGTGCAGAGGAAGGTCCTGAGACCCCTTCGGACCCAGACGGGAGGAACCATCATGGTAGGTGGGCAGGGGGCGGGGCGGCTGCTGGGGCCCCCACCCCTGGGCTCTCTTCCCACCTGGAACGTCCTTCCTCCACTTAGGAGCTGAACCAAATCCCCACAACAATGACCCTTTCTCCAAAAGCCTTTCCCAATTTGGGAGATTAGAATTCTTGGTTCCTTCCCCTCTGACCTAGTGCAGTTACCGTAATTGCTGGTATATAAGGGGACACCTAAAACCCTGGCTGGGCGCACCCGATGTACCCTGGGAACCAGAAGGAAGCCCTGTGCCTGCAGTGAGGGTTGCTCTTCCCCTCTCCCCCAGCACGGTGTGCAGATAAACTCTTAGCAAAATTTGGAGCCACATCCTGGTGCATTCTCAGCCAGGTGGGAGGTGGCGCCCTGGGAAAGATTCACACTGAAATGCATGACCCCCATGTAACCCCACACTGGATCAGCACCTACTAATCCCCTGTGATTTTCTTTACAGTTTTGCAAATGGGTACTTTTTCTTTTCTCCCCCCTCCC